TCCTTACAGGAGAACTATGTTGGTGGAGGTTGCTCTTTTAATCCACCTAATTGCATAAAAATAGAATAATTTAACACATATTCCTATCAGGGTTCACACCTAAACACACACACACACACACACACACACACTCTGAAATGAGTGCATAATGAGTCTGTGCTTTTCATCCATCATTCTGCCCATTGCATTACATTATTCCTCAGGAAAACTATTTTCTGAAAGGAAGCTATAGGAAAGTGTTTAACATTTTCATAATTAAACAGCAATTCCTTAAGTCTTAATGGTGTTTTAAAAACTTGAATATAAAATCTTCTCTGAAAAAAATGTGATTATATTTGCTGTGCTGCCTGAGAATTCCCACCACGTAACCATACAGGCTGGGAGTGCTGTGCAAATGTCCCTCTCCAACCTCCCAAATCTTCTGAAAAACTCCTCCCACACTTGGTGGCTGTGTATATATATCTCCTTTTTTAAGTATATAGTTTTAACTCATTTGTATTTTCAATGTTGGACTCATTCTAGTACTATTTATAGAATCAAGCATTAAGCACTGTCCCTTTCTCCTGTAATGAAAACAAAAATTATCTGAAATTATCAGCAACAGACTTAAATTGTGTAGAATTAAAACATTTTTGTCAGTGGTACTGAACTCCCCATAGAATGTCTTTGGAGATGGGTTACTTTACGCCTACCATCTGAGGAGTTTTTTTACTCTACATCCTTAGTAGGCATTTTATGCATTACCTAGTCTGTCTGGCCAGATGTAAACACTTGCCCATAATAACCACACCACAGCAGAGGGAAATCTGTGTGGACTGGTTGCTCACTTTTACCTGTTTTGGATCCAGTCTCAGCTTTTCCTCTTCTTATTTCTTCAACGACAAAAAGAAGGCAGGGTGTCCACCTATACCTCTTTTTTAATTTTTTCCTGTTGCTAGTATTTCCTTTTCTTTCTTTTTTTCTTTTTTTTATTGAGTTTATTGGTACATTTTAGTTATACAGTACAATTACATTCATTATTGAGATCTTATACCTTTACATGACAGGTCTTGGTTCTCATTTTTCCCCTTGTCCCTGCCCTCCCTTCACACCCTCCTCCCCTCCCCATTTAAAACACTTTATTTCCATTTTTTCATTTTCTCCTAGTATTTTTTTCTTTTCCCTTATTACCTCTCCCCTACCTTTCCCACTGTCCCTACACCTTTAGCCCTTTTCTTCCTATTTCACATGGTCAATTATCTCATTAGGATCTTATGTACTATTATAGTTTTTCACACCAGAGAAACTATTTGGTATTTACACATGTGTGACTTATTTATTTCACTTAGTGTTGGCAGGGTTGTGGGGAGAAAGGAACCCTTCTCCATTGTTGGTGGGAGTGCAGACTGGTGCAACCACTATGGAAATCAATATGGAGATACCTCAAAGAGCTGGGACTAGAGGTTCTATTTGACCCAGCCATTCCTCTGCTGGGTATCTTTCCAAAACAATTAAAAGAATCATATCACAGTGATATATGTACACCTATGTTTATAGTGGCACAGTTTGTAATAGCTAAATCTTGGAAACAACCCATTTGCCCATCAGTTGGAAACTGGATAAAGAAGATGTGGTTTTTCTATAAAATGGAATGCTACTCAGCCACAAAGAATGAGAAATTAGATTCATTCATAGGAAAAAAAGTATTTCCTTTTCTTTTAACATATATTTCTGTAATTCTATCACACATCCACTCTTGCCAGGGTAGACATAAAAGTGTTTTAGAAGTGCTATGTCAATCCAGCGCCTTATTGTTATTTTGTAATGTTTATTTCCATTCTATACCCTCTACTCATCCATACCACAAATAGTCAGTTAGGTAAATTTCTTTTGTACCTAACTTCATGGGCATCAATTCAATTTTATATAAAGAATAGAATATGATTAGTCATGTGCACCCTGTCTCTTCCTATCAATACCTTCCCTGGTCAGATCCTCTTTACCCTGAATAAGATCAGTGTAATTTATTCAGGGAGAATTTCCATCCTCCTTCCTGTCCGACACATGCCTGTCTAGATTAGCTTCTTCTCTCCATGTTCATATAACTTTGTCTTTATGGAATTTAATAGAATGGTAATTATAGGATGCTCTGTGTATTACATTGTTTTTTCATGTTTCTCCTCCTTCACTGTTTACCTACTTGTGCTCAGCACTCGATGACTGTCTCTGCTGAACACCAGGATCCTTTTACATAATCTCTTTTACTAAAGAAGCAAATCTGACGAGGTTATGGACAACCTCAGATTTTAGTTATCAAACTGAGGTACAATGAGAGAGAAGTAGGAATAAGCTGTTGGAAATCACTTTATATATATATATATATATATATATATAGGAATCACTTTTATGTAGGAGAGTATTTAATTTAACCAAAATCTGTTGTGTGCATCTGGCCCTTTAAATTTTAAATACAACAAATAAACACATCAATATTACCATGTCCCTGGGAATACTATTTCTCCCATTTTACTTTCTATGGCTGACCCAGAGCATTAAAATATGGCATCTGCTTTTCTAGCCAATCATTTATGATACAAAGTACCATTGTAAAATAGAGCATGGAAGACAATAATAATTTACTACCAGACTTTTGCCTCCCTGATCCACTGCCTCTAACGGCTACTCTGTGTTCTCTTCCCAATGTTCTGCAGTTTATATCTTTCTTGCTGCCTTTTTCACTGCTTGGCTTCCTCTTGGTGCTTCTCATATTTTTCCACAGGCATACTAATTGCAGGAGTAATAATCCTTGTGGATCTCCCACTCTGTGGAGGATAGAGAGCACACCACTAGCCCTAGCCTGGCCCATTGACATTTACAGAGCTGCCCAGCAACACCCTTCCTCCCTTCCTCCCTCCCTCACTCTCTCACCCACTGATGGATGCTGGGAAAATGCAGGCAATTACAATATTGTCCTGAGGTAAACATAATTAGGACTCCAATCTTTAGAGGAAAAAAATATCCACAATGATGTTTTCCAAAGCCAAGTACAAATGCTTTATTTAAATGGTCTATACTCATTGGAGAGACTTATTTCCATAATTTAAAAACCTCATTTAACATTTTAGCCTTACCTAAGATGGTACTTAAAAGGTTATTCAAAATGTTGTTGATAATTATGAACTCTCATGGCCTTGCAGAAATCAAAATACCAAAGACAAATATAGGCAAGAGAGCAAGGCAGCTATAGATGCTTTTTTTTTCTCTAAATAGACTCTCAAATTTTTTTTACTATAAAAAATCACATGAGTTTTGGTAGAAAATATTTAAAAACCTATGATTTTTTATTAATGCTTACTACATGACTATTGTTTATAGCACAAGTGAAAAGCAGAGATGAATAAATCTTTAACCTTTCTATACTTCTGTACCATCATCCATAAAATTGTAATAAAAATAGTGCTTACCTCCAGTATTTGCTGTAAGAATTAAACAAATATACATAAAGCAATTAAGACAAGGCCTGACATCTATGAGATGCTCAAGAATGTCGCCTGTAATTATTATTATTTATAATAATAAAGAGATTTCCACCTGGCAGGCACGACAACTCTACATATTTTATGGACTTCACTGTGGTTGTTCTGTGTCTAGTGTTTCTCACCCTTCATTTGTCTTAAAAACAAATGTATATGATTAATGAGGTTAGCACAAGTCTGGTCCAGTTTGGGACATCTCAAAGACTCTAAACCAAACCCATCAGACCTCTTTCCTTCCACTCATGCCCAGAGAAAACCTAGAAAATAATTATTTCTGGAGGGGAACAAATTTTCCACCTCAGTCTAATGCTTAGATCAATTCTAAATGTACTAAAGTGAATTTACCCATCGAATGAATCCTGGAATATAATGTTGAATTTTTGTTGCTGTTTCTTTTGTTTTTGTTTTGGATGAAGGGTGGGTATTTTTTAAATCTATAAAATGGGAGTAACTATAAAAATAACAAACATTTATACAATGCTGTGAGTCAGGCCTGGATGTAAGTACTTCATAAATAATAGCCAATGATTATCCCCAATTTACAGATAAGAAAACTAAAGCATAGAAAGGTTAAACTACTTGTTCAAAGTCACACAGTTCATCAGCCAGGATTTGAAAGCAGTCAATACTCTAGCCATGATACTAACGTAGTCCCTACTCCCATACCATCTCAGCTGGATAATAAGTTCTTGATGAACCAAAATAATCTGTTTTTTCAAGACCAGAAGCCCCAGGAGCTCCTTGCAAAAGGACCAAAGTATTGGTTTTGTCCTATTTAGCAAAACCTAACTATGCAATTCCTATGACTAAGAACCATATGTGGGGCCAGGGTGTAGCTCACTTGAACCGTACCTCACAAGCGCAAGGTCATGAGTTCAATACTGGGTGCCAAAAAAAAAGAACCATACATTTGATTCTGCCTGGGACTGCCCAGGTTTGTACCTGTTTCCCTCTTTTACTGCTCAGTGGTGTCTTTCTGCTCAGTAACTTACACTGAATGTCTGGTCTTCAACATTCTATGGTTGAACATAGAAAATCAGTCCATATTGTGTGTCTGTGTCTGTATGTTCATGTGTGTGTGTGTGTGTGTGTGTGTGTGTGTGTTTTTGCTGATATTTTGAGTTCATTGCTTATAAAATGCTTCATTTTTTTTTACATTTATCATGCACAGATTTCTATCTAAAATTAAATTAGAATATTCAACCATCTCACTAGTCGCTTGGCAAAACAGCTGAGGAGGTATGAAGGAGTAATAAGCCTTTACACCACATACACAATTCTAATCAGAACTCAGTTTATCCTTCCATGTTTCTGCTCAGTTTGTGAACTGTTGTTATAGTGGTTTTGTAAAAGGCATTTGAATGTACCTTTTCCTAAACACACTTGTTAGTCACTTTCCATTTTCTTTGTGATCACTAAATTGATCACCCAATACAACATGTGGAGGACATAGACAGGACTTCAGGAATGGCACAACTCACTTACCTTGATCTTAAGAGAAGAACATCCTTCTCATTCAGGAGTTTCAAGGGGGTGGACACAAAGCATTGGTACCTATTTAGGTTATGTGTAAAGTAACAGATTACGGCTTCCTCTGCCAAAAGCTTACTTCTCATGGTTCAGTTGACCTTGATGCTTTTTAGTTTTATGGAGTTGGCATGTCTTCTCTCAATCTAACAAAGGAGAAAAGAAACAATTATACATCTTTTATATGCCTTCAGGGCATCTCCCTGCCACTTATCATTGTTTTAAAAATATAGTGACTCTCCTCTTACTGATTATAAGTAGACATCTGACTGCAATGCCCTTTGTGTCTGCTCCCTCTGGTGAAATCTTACCTCTCCACATTAAATATCATCTCTTCCAGGAACCCTCTAGACAGAATTAATTACTACACCATCTGTGGAACTGCAGTATTGTTTGTCCTGTATGATGATTTTACCTTCATCTGTCACCTTTAAGTTGTGAGGTCAACCAAAGTACAAAACTTATATTTAAATATAATACTCTCTCGGGCCAGACACAAAGTCTACTATATACTCTCTTAATATATGTTTGATGAATGAATAGCACTTTATGATATACACAGTTTTTTCAAATGTATTAGTTCACTTTAGCTCCATATAGTCTAATGAAGTACATGATACATGATCACTTTATATTTATGAAGAGTACAATTATGAACATCCCCACTTCATAGAAGGCAAAACTAAGAAATCTCAGAAGGTAAAGGATATGGCTTTGAACCACTCTATAGGTTTCTAACTAACTAGATTTATTTAAATTACATAAATATTTAGTCTTCAAGGACAGTAAAGATAATTTTATTAAAGAACTACTTGACCACTTGACAATTTTTTCTAGTGTCCAAACAAGCCTCTGTAAATAGCTATTTTATTCTTGTTTATATTACCAAAATTAAGAGAGCTATTGTGAGCTCCATCTGTGGAAACTTCACCCAATACGACATGAGGAGGACATAGACAGGACTTGAGGAACTGCACAAACTCAGGGAATACAAACTCTGAAACTAGCCAACTTCTTCATAGCAGCCCACTGGGAAATAGCTAGAGCTGTGTAACTAGGACTACTCATGTCCTTTGGCATGGCCTAAACATTTTTACTCTAAATTATTTGACTGTTTTCTTTCTAGGAGGTTGGGAAAAAATGATTGAAGTAAAATGTCATTGACACTTAACCTCTGAAAAAGAAGCAACGTATATTTTTTTCCTATATACTATTAAAAGAATGAATTAAATATACAGGCCAAAGGAACACAGTCCACAAATTGAATCTAAACCACAATGTGCCATAGTAAGAAGAGTTCTGCAGTTAGACAAGCCATAAAAGCGGGTTCTTTTAACTAGTATTTATGAAGCACCTATTATCCACCACGCAGTGTTATATATCATAGATTCAGAACAACATGAAATAGACATGGTCTGTATCTCACAAAGCTTTCAGTCTCATGGGAAAGCCAGATTTTGAACAAGTAACTACAATACCCTAATGTACAACTGTTCAGAAGAATCAAAGGAGGCCCAAAAGGGGATATTCAAGTTGACACTGATGGATAAATAAGTTCGGTAGGCAACAGAGGACAGGGAAGATGGGAAAGTGAGGGAGAGATTTTCATGGAGAGACAATAAAAAGACTAATGAGAGCTACTGCTGCACGGTCCACTGAGACACCCTGCTATGACTCAGTAGAACTACCTAATGTCAACAGATACAACTCAAAGGCTCAAAAAAGTATGTGTACATCGGAACCTATTTTCTCTTACCACATTTGAAATTCTGAGGTGGCCTTGTGGATGAGTCTAAGCTAGGCTGCTAAAGGATGGTAGACTACAGGAGTGTAGGCACCTTAGCCAAAGCCACCCTGCGCACTGACAGCCTGTCCACCGTGAGAGCTGAGTAAGGCCATGGTAGATCTTTAAGCCACCAGCTACAGAAACAAGAGAAAGTGCAGCAGAGATTAGTTGAATTGGTCCAGACCCAATGAAATGACCAGCTGGCCCATGGAACTGTGAGTTAAATAAAATGATTGCTGTTGAAGCCACTAGGCTACAGGAGGATTTGTGTTATGCAGCAAACAGTAACAGATGTACATGGTAAGAAATGATGCTGGCCTGAACTAGCTGGTTAGCAGTGAGGACTGGCAAAATTCAGGTGTTCAATCAAAAGTACTGTAGTTTTTAATTAGGGCCAACAGGTTGAGGGTGAGTCCTATTTACTGAGCTCAAGGACAGTGGAGGAGAAAAATATATGAGGAAGAAAATGAAAAGTGCAATTTAGAATATGTAGAAGTTGAGATGGCAGAGAAACCGCAAAGCAATAGTATCAACCATGGTCTCAGATTGATGAGCAGACAACATGAGAAAGGTCTAGACTGCAGACACAGGCCTGACTTGTTTGTGCAGATGGGGAGATTGAAGCCATGGTAGATAAACTTCCCTAATCATAAAGAGCAGAGCAAAGAGCCTAAAGGGCTCTGATAATTGCTATGTAATTTTGAACAAGTTACTCAACATCTCTGAGCCTGTTTTAGCATCTGTAAAATGACATAATGTTCACTGACTTGCTGAAATGTAAGAAAGATTAAACAAAACTTATTTGGCTTTAACCACCTGACATATCAAGAACTAAAAAATGCTAACTTTCCCATCATTTACAGTAAAATTGCACAAAAATATTTTAGAGTAGTTTTAGCTCCCTGTTTTCTGTTATTAATATCTGTGGATTAGAGGTAAATTTTAATTATGATCAATAAGAAAGAATACTACGTCCATTAATACTGAAACATTAAACAAAGTTTCCTAAGCCGCGTGCATCAGAATTTCCTGCGGTGGTTAATTAGCATGCAAGTTCCTCAGTTTCACCTTAAACTACTGAATAAGAAATTTGGAAATGTATAAACAGGAATCTATGTCGCGAACCACAACGTCAGAATCCTGCCAGCAGGTCCCAAACCCGAGGGAGGAACAACAGGAGAGCAGTTTGACGAACTTAGTTGCAGGCTCATGCTCTACCGTAGCAAGGCCCCATTTATTTTTCAGGGTGGGATATATATAGGCTGAAACCGAAACCAAAAGTGTAAACATTTATACTCTTCAGCTGCATGGGAGCGAGAGCTGCACGGGAGCGAGAGTACCGCCCACACATCCCAGAGGGAAACAATAACAACCATTATAGGTTACATCTGCTACCAGCTGAACTCGCCCGTTGCTATCGGCGAGGTGACTCAAAGTTCAATCATGTCTAGGCCTATGTCAAGGCTCACCATGATAGCTCACCATAAATCTACATTGTTAATAAACTTCCAGCGTGACTGTTTTGCACTGTAAACGTACATAAGTGGATTTCCCTTTGGCTCCCTAATAATATAAGAACAAATAGAAATTGTTGAAATTTACTTGCTATCCCGTGAAGTCCACATACAAGTGATCACATCCTAGTCATCCTGCCCAACTCTACTGCCACATTAATTCTGTTCTTCACCATCATCAGCACCGCCTGGCAGAATCCTTCTGCCCGTATTCTTCCTGCCCATCTGACGGGCCTCCCGGAGATAGAAATTCTCACTCCATCCTGTACGGCCCTGATCACCATCTCACTGCATTTCTCCATAAGAATTTGACCCATTCTAAGGTCCCGAAGAATCTTCCTCACAGCACACGGTGTGCTTGGTCTCTTCCTACTGGAATTCCCCCTCATCACTCAGGAAGCCATGCATTTTAACACATAGTCACATACGTTACATGGCCTCAGGCTCATGAAATCAGTTGCTGATTAAGAATAAATATTGCCTCCCAGCTGCTAGGAAAGTTCAAACACTTGAAGCTGATTGCAGGAAGAAAATAGGTCCAATCTGTTCTGTTCTGCAAAATGTCAATAGGCATGGTTACGCAGGCACGTCTGATACTTTTCTTCTGTACAAATTACAGGGTAGAATGGGAACAAGGATGGCATGAATAGAAATCTATATTTCAGGGGAATTTTAAAAAGTGGCACAGTATTGAGCTGAACCTCCACAGGTTGCTACTTGCCGTAAGTATCTGACGCTACACTCACATAACCAGGGGGAGCTACCCCTCGCCCCCCCAGCTTACAGAGAATGTGCTCTCTAATCACAAGGCTGATTTCTAGACACATACCTCCGGGAAAATTTTTGTTTTATAACACTTGAGATCAGGAACGCAGATCCATAAATACACTGTTTCTCTCTTTCCAAGAGCAATTTGCCTATTCTCAGCAGCTGGAGCAGAAGAGAAACAGTAAGTAACACATGTTCTAAAATAGCATTAAAGGCCTGTATTTCAAATACCTCCAAATCTGTTCAGCAACACCACGCGCCTGCTCCCGGGGCCTCTCCCTGCCACCACTCTGTCTGTCTCCACCCCCTCCTCCATGGAGCTGCACGAGGGCCGAATCACCGCTGTGTCAAACAAAAGAAAGATAATCCTTCCCTAAACAAAATCTTGGATGAAATCCAAAACATCTGATCTCTATGCTCTTGTTAAATATTTCTGCTTGTGCACAGTGAAGTATTTACTTTCATCTAATACCTTACCAGTAGGCTGGTGGTCTATTCCCACATGAATATGACAGCCCCTACTCCCATGCTAAAAGGTATTCTGCATCCTTGACATACTTCCGCCCAAGCAGAGCACACTGAGAAGCAGGCTCACTCCAGAGCGTTCCTACTTCACCAATCTCCATCCTCCTGTGCACAATGTATGGAAAAATCAGAGGTCTTTTTCAATTGTCTTTTTCTAGAAATTAATATATACATACATCTTTTTCTCAATTAGAAGAGAGAACTGTTCATAAGAAAGTGATAGCCCCTGGCTTGCTTTAAAACTATAAATGGCATTGTCATTATGCACAAATGATGGTGTCAGCTGACAAAGGACACCTCAAGGAATCTGTTAAGGGCCACAGTTTCGATCTCAGGGGAACTTTTATAAGTCAGGTAAGAAAAAGCTGATTGCTTACATCACTCCTTTTGAAAATTCCTGTCTCCCTTGCGCCTAACTTAAATCTAATTGAAATACACCTTTTCAAGAGTCTCTGATGGCTAAGGATCTCAAAAGCTGAGGATTAAAGAAAAAATATTCATCCTCCAATCCTGCAAATTAAATTAATCTCATTAATTCAATTAACCCTTCTGTTCAAGACATTGCTTGAAGAAAAGATTCAGATACAGTATGTTTTGCAAATTGTAAGTATTACAGGAAATCTGAAGCTCTGAAATTAATGTAAACTTATACAAGATTAAGTAACTAATAAATTTTTTAAATGATTTGTGAACCCACTACCCTTACAACTAAAAGTTCATCATGTTTAGGAAGGACTAATTCTAAGGCAAGGTATATGGACACAGGCTAAAGCCAAACTTGAAGTTCTTGACTCTTTCAACAGGGTACACTTAGAAATAACCTGGGTAAAATCGCTAAGCCTTTGAACATCCTCAATTTTTATTTTCAACTAGAAGATGAAACTGTACCATTTCTTACCAACCTAAATTGTAATGATTTCAGAGCAAAAATATAGTTATTATTTCCATACTTTAAAGCTATTAGAGCATACAAAGTTGAGCTGTATTGAGATATATTTAAGTACTGCCCTATAAAGCACCAAAAATAATCCTTAGAATATAAGATTTTGTTTTGGGGTTTTTGTTTTTTCTTCTCAGTATCTGGGGCTGGCTGCTTCAAAATTACAATAATCCCTATTAACATGTGACTCTGGTAACTCTCACTAAAGTTATTCTGAAACACATGAAAAATAAAGTTCCCTACTCAGTTTCCCCTCTTGGGTCTCCACATTTCTATATCAACCAGCATGTACAAATGCTACAAAGCATAATTGCTAGAGAAAAAACCCTTCCTACTTCCCTGGATAGTACTAGGAATTTATTTACCTAGGGGACAATATAACGAGAAGCAAAAATGAGATCTGCTTATCTATCACAGGATCACTGAAGCCATTTTTGAAGTTAGGTCTCCTAGTCTCTACTTGTACTCTTTCCAGGCTCACAATCACAGTGCCTTTTAAATGTGTACAAAGTGCCCAAATGGTTAATATAACCCCAGATGCTCCTGGCTGCCATTTCTACCCAAGGGCCATGGCCAGACATAGATAATAAAATGCTAGCTGACAGGCTGGCATGGAATCATTAATTTTCATTCTCTGAACATAAGAGAATGAGATTATGTACCTACAAAATATGTCAATGCGTACATTAAATAAGTTTCTCCATTAGAAGTTTGACTTTCAAACTTCAAAGTAAATCAGAAGCAAAGACTCTCAAGACATCAACAATGCAAAGTCAAGGCATTTGTAATGGTTCAGTAAAACAAAAATAGCCATTTTTCCTTCACCAAGTGAAAAATATTTTCAACTCACCATAGAAAATGGAAGACTGACAAGCCAGCTAACAGGGTAAGCATTAGATGCTAAGAAGCAAGCCTGTGAAAACCGTAATAATTATGGCACTACAAAAATTTACTATGTGCTAGGTATGTCTCCAAGTGCTACTCATACACTAACTCCATTACCCTTTACAACATCCATATGAGATAAATGTCTTAGATCTTTTGTAATTTATACATGATGAAACTGAAACTCAGGAAAGTTATTTCATTTACCCAAGCCACACAGCTAATAAGTCGTGGAGCTCAGAATCAAACTTAAACAGTCTGGTTCTGGAGGTTGTGCTCTTAACCCAAATGTAAGAAATGCAACAGTGTTACTTTTGTTTTATTATTGGAATCAAAAAGAAGTGGTGATGATTGCAATAAGTCAGGGAACAAATCCACCTGAGATTCAGATTCCCAGGACCACAGGCTTGCAACTCTAGGCCTAAAAAGGTAGTGACCACCCTGCCAGGTGGGTCTTCGTGGATGGTGCTCTGCTCTGGAGAACTGGGGAGGGTCGTAGTTCAAACCCTTGAGCTAACTTGTTCCCCAGAGACTGGGGAGGTAGAGGAAGGTGGGCTTTTGTGGAGTACCAGGCAGTGCCTCCTCATTCTAGTAGCATAAGAAGAAGATGGCAGGAGACACTGAAAGCTCCATGGATTCCTGTGGAAATGGTGGCCAGCAGAGTCTTGGCAAAAGCACACAGAGTAAAACTGAACACTTGAGGAGAGCTGCTATCCACAGATCTAGACACTTCCCTTTCTCTAGTACTTTATTAAAATTAAATTTACTAATGATACATAAGAGATAAATATTTTACTTATTGCTCATGCAATATGCAATGTTCCAAGATATATAAACATTGTGTAATGTTTAAATCAGGTTAAACATATCTCCTCAAGCATTAATCATTTCTTTATAATAAAGTCTTTTTAAATTATTCCCATTTTTTCAAATGTTCAGTACATCCTTGTTATCTATAATTATTCTACTGTACAAGACCACACTAGAGTTTTTCTTTTTCCTTTTCAGTTCTGGGGATGGAACCCAAACCCTGCATCCCTCCTTTCACTCCACCCTACTCAGCCTCTGTGAACATCATTCTGCTCTCAACCTGTAGGAGACCAAACTGTTCAGATTCCATAGAAGAGTGAGATCATTCAGTACTTGTCTTTCTGAGCCTGATTTGTTTTATTTATTTAACATTCTGATCTCTGGTTTCATCCATGTTGTCACAGTGATCAGATTCCATCCTGAATAATATTTCATTGTGTGCATGTACAACATTTTCTTCGTCCATGTATCAGATGGTGGGCACCTAAGTTGTTTTTATTTATTGGCTATTGTGAAAGTGTTTCAGTAAACATGAGAGTGCAGATATCTCTCCGACATACTGATTTCATCTCCTTTAGATGTACACTGTGAAGCAGGATTGCTGCATCATACAGTGTTTTTATTTTGTAGATTGTTTTTCGTAAAGGCTCCACTAACTTACATTCCCGCCAACAGGGTACAAGGGTTCCCTTTTCTCTACATCCTAACACTCCTTTGCTTTAGTCTTGCTGACAATAGCCATTCTTATTGAGGTTAAATTATATCTCTTCGTGCTCTTGATTTTTGTTTCCTAGTAAACAGTGCCATTAAACATGTTTTCATATATCTGTCGGCTATGTCTTTTGAAAAATGACTGGCTATTGTGGCTTTCCTCACAATGGCCTCCATGGTGTACTTTTATTTTGTTTTTTCTTTTCTTTCATTTGGCCCAGCTTGTTCTGCCAAGCCAGTTTCTCCCTTACTCTTTACCTTTATTTTATTTTTTATTTTTTTATTTTTTTTGGTATGGGGAACCCAGGACCTTGCACTTGTGATGTAGGCAGTGGCACCACTGAGTTAAATACCTGGCCCCTCACTTTCACTTTTTTAAATAAACTGTGTCACAGCTTTTTGGTCATTTCATTTGATTCCTTGTTCAAGATGAAACAAAGAAGCAGAAGTGCTCACCAGAAGGAGAGGTGAGCAACCCAACACTCCACAGTGTTCATGTGACAAGCCACTTCTAGAAGGAGCAATCTGATAACATTTTGACATAACCAACCAGGAGGAAAGCTCAGGTTTCAGAGACCAAGGCCCTGAGCTGAGCCAATGGGAAACCTCTGGACCTTGCTGCTGCACAGATTTCACCAACTTCGCCACTAGGCCATGCGTATTCTTGATGAGTGGGAAAGGTTTGATCCTGACAATCTAAAACAGGAATAGCTTAGCTACTATCGCAATACTGTCTGGGCTCAGTATAAACTGGGAGGTGGCAAGAGATGGGTACAGGACAGTACTTTGAGACTATTCTCCAGTTACAGTGTTTCTGCTTAAAACATGCAAGGTGGAATTAAATTCCTATTGATAAGCCTCAGATATTCAGCAAAACCTTCAGATGGGCTCATAGACACCTATGGCCCAATTTCTGGACATGGCATTTTCCAGAGGAGAAACAAAGGAAAATGGCCAACTGGCAATGCTTTAAGTCTACCCAGACCACCCTAGAAAAAATACAAGGACAACTGAGGCTCTTGTTTCAAATGTAAGAAGGCCACAAACTGGCCACAAGATTGCCCCAAGCCTCCGCCTGGGCCGCTTTATATGTGAAACAGATAATGTGCCTGATGATAGCATTGGACGTCTGACTGTCCCCACTCCCAGAGAGGGGCTAGGCCAGCCAGAACCTTCATTTCTTTCTTTCTCTCTTTTTTTAATACGTATTTGAAATATTTTATTTGTATTTGTTTATATTTTTCATTTTCTAATATTAATTCCATTCCTTTCTTTACTTTTCCCTACCCTACCTATTTCCCCTTCCCCTTTGACCCCTTTCTTCCTATTTCACATTACCTATTATACATTTTGATGCTTATTCACACTTTCAGTTTCTCACACCAGAGAAACTATTTGATATTTACACGTGTGTCCTATTTATTTCACTTAAGC